CCACTAAACGACAAAAATTTGTTGGCCACTGAATAATAAATAATTTATTTCAGAGATCACTTTGATTAACTCCGTACTTTAATGTAAATCGTTGCAATAATGAAACTCGAATGCACTAGCAAACCATGAACGATAATGGTCAATTTTTTAGTGCCGTCTTATCAGAATTTAAGTAAAATTTAAAATTATTACTTTTTTCACTTACCAAATCGATTAACTCTTTCAGTAACGTAAAAATGGTAACATTACTATTACCATTTGGCTATTTTTTCTTATAAATTTTATATACGTTGAATGAAAGTCACATTTATATTTATGCATTCTATAATATTTATTTCGATTCAAATTATACACAGAATTTTAAAAAACAATATACATTATTTCATTGCATTTCTCCACTTTTTGTTTTATGGAGTTAATCAATTTGTGCAGTGAACGGCTCAACTGATAGTATATCTAGGAATTGAATCGAATGGAAGAATTTCGATCTGTCAATCATTTTTGCATTTTATTTGGAACAATCGAAGCAATTCATTTGCATAATTTTTTTAACGAATATTATTTTTAATATTTTTTTGGAATAAAAGAAACAATGGAAGAGAAAATATGCAAAATTCCAGGTGGAAGAAGTGTGAGAAAAAATAAGAGAAATATAACCATTATGAATAGGAAGCGGAAAACTTTTGATATTGAAAACCAAGAACACATGTGTTATTTTAAATTGTCATTGATAAATGTGAAAAGAAGTAAAATAGATTTCTAGATTTGTTCTAATAATGATTTATGAGCCAGACTCTAACCTAGAGTAAAAAACAAACGAGTTAATAGTCTTTGACACGCATCATAACATAATTTATATAAATAAACTTATTTTTCAAACTAAATCAAATTTACCATAAAATAAATTATCACTTTCATCTGTTTGCAGCAATAATAAATTAATTTTTACCTCACTTTTTAATACATAATTTTTATTTTTTATTCAAAAGTTGTATTTCTAACCACCATTATTAAAATGTACATGTACATATCTAAACATCACATAGTTGAATTATTATTGATGCTATATGATTGGCTAATTAAAATGTAATTCACTTTTAAGATTATACTCTGAACAATAAATGTGAATAAAACAGGCCAAAAAAGAAAATTGTGTAAAAAGATTTCATGTAAAACAAAAATAAGTACAAATTAATCAATACATTACAATTTTTCCATTTCCACTATGTATATATTACAAGACTAAACTGTAAATCTCGAAGCACGGTATTATCTCTACAATTTGCAAAGAAGTTTGTAATCTTTCGAACATTTTAACCGCTAATGAACACATTTTCGTTATTCCTTCGAGCTTGCAATGGCGCCGAAGTCACGAGTACACGGAGCAATGAGATGCGTCCGAATGTCACGTCGGCACACACTTCGCAAAGTGGTTACAACGCGTAAAGTTTATTTTCGGGAGCGTCGAGGCTCGAGCACGTGTTCGAGAGGAAACGCCGAACACGAGTTTCCACTTGGCGACGCGACGCTTCCTCGGAGTAATTGTCACGTGCGCGGCGCCGATCAACAGCTCCGTCGGTTCAAGCTACTTCAAGTACTCCCATGAACACTCTTCTGCTCGAACCACGCAAGTTTCACGAACGTGAAATAATATTACGCGGCTCTCTATGTCGCACATCCGGTTCGCTCGTTGGATGATCACGACGCACGTGTAACTTCCTCAAATATTGCCAATGACAGTAATTTCACGTTCGATATTGGTAAACGTTGCTCGTGGTAACAAAATGGCGTACGATTAGTACTTGTGTATGTCAACAATTTACATTCCCGCTGATATATTGCATCTTCACGACAAAGGAGTTTAATATTCGATTAGATTACTATTATTTGACACGAGAGATGGAGAATTGGCTAAATTTTTAGGCAATTTTGTGAATTAGATATTATTTTAGTGATCATTGTAACAGGTACGACATATTATATATATAAATTAATTTGACTATCTATTATATAATTCTTTGACTGTCTATTTATAAATTTTATACTGTCTATTATAAAATTTAATATTTGACTATCTATTATAAATTATATTTGACTATCTGATTAAATTATTACGGTAGATGAATATAATATAATTTAAATCTTTATTTTATTATTATTTTAAAATCTGATTAGCTTACAAATACATCGTAATTCGAATTTTATATATTGAAACATTATAATCAGTCTATGCCAACTCTGGGACCAATTAACGAGCACGGAAAGTATTAGAAATATCATTTATATAATATATAAATGTATATAAATATATAAATAAAATATGTAACAAATATTTCTAATATAATATATATAACATAAAATATATAAATATATAATATATAAATAAAATACATAAATATATATAACAAATATATAATATATAAATGATATTTCTAATACTTTTCGTGTTTGTCAATTGGTCCCACAGTTGGGATAGAATAATTATAATGTTTTAATACATAAAATTCGAAATGCGATGTATTTGTAAGCTAATCATATTTCAAAATAATAATAAAATAAATATTTAAATACTTATAATAGAGAAAAGAAGTTAGAATATTATAGAAACAAACAAATCTATAATTCTTGTTGTCTACTACGCAATTTTTAGACGTCAAAGAGTAAGTTTAAAATTAAATGTATTTAACGCGCAGTAATTGTCCATTTTATCATAGGAGTAATTAACGTCTTCCTCTTTTTCTTCTGTTTGTTTCCATTTTCCCTGTATTTTTTATTGTTTTTTTTTTTCGTAAATTATGATAGTCATATAACCCTGAACGTTGTTAGTCAATCAGCTCTAAACTTTCACTTCAATATTCTACGTAAGCACTAATTATTTGTTTATAAAACAAATACTGTTTTACTAGATCTTTTAATTAAGAAACTATTAAATATTCTTTCATAATTTATTTTACTGTAACTATACATATATGGGGTGTCGCAAAATTCACGCAAGATTTGGTTTTTATGCCATTTGTGCGATAAAGTGCTGCCAACGAAGAAAAAAAGACAGCGTGACAGCTGATAGTTTAGGGTTATTAACCCTTTGCATTCGGCGATTTTTTGGCTAAAGAAGAGTAGGAGTCCGAAGATTTTCTGCTATAAAGTTGACGATATTTTTTTGAACAGTAAATAAGAAATAGTATAATAATTCCTTACGTAGCGCGTAGGAATTATAATAAAATTATAATAATAATAATAATAATAATTAATAGGAAATTATAATAATTCCTTAAATTTGATATATTAATTAATACCGATTTTCGAAATTTTATCAAATGACGACTGAAGGGCGCCTCTCGAGTGCAAAGGGTTAAAAATGGAGTGCTATAAGAAAGAACAATGCGTCTTCATTGTTGAGCAATATTTGCAATTTTTAATTAAAAACCTGCGTTTTCTATCAAAATTATTTCTTGCGTGAATTTTGGAACACCCTATATAGGTATCGAAGATGGAACAACGCGACAACAGATGACTGTTATTATAATAGCAACAATAACCGACAATGACTGAAATTAGATGGAAAAAGTCTACCAGTCTTATTATTGAAACAAAGTTTCGAAGTATAAGGAAAACAGTAACACAACATTCAAGTTCATCATAAATGTACTTTGAATATAAAATATCAATAATTTTGGTTAATGATATAAGGATTAAGAATATCATAGATTATTATTAGATAATATAGATATTTATCTCCTTGAAATGCTATGTTAGGGTTTATATCAGACTTGTATGTTTAAACTTAATTTCTTTCCTCCAACATATTTTTATATGTAAAATCATCTACGTATATCAGATTATACCATTAGTTAACAAATACCTTGTTAGCATAATTCTATAGCAATCTATGTATTTCGAAGAATATACTTTCTGCTTTGTCATTTCATTGGCAGAGGAAGCAATTTATTAATACAAGAAAATAATTATAAGATATTTAAAAAATAAATATGTATTTCGATATGTTATACTTATTATTGAAATTAAAAATAATTTGTGTAAATGACAACAGAAGTATAATTGGCATTTACACCTAATTATACATCAAATTCTGCTATTTTCTAAAAACAGCAATTACTTAGATTAATACTATTACCTTTAATTATACGTTACAAAATCAAACACAAGTAATCTCAAATGTCTATATAAGAAATGCAAATTATTTTGATATTTTCTCTAATTTTATGAATGCATAATCGCATAAACGATGATAAATTTTATAAGCATTTGTAAAAGCAAAAAGTTACTAAAGGATTATATAAGAAAACGCGAAGCACCGAGTAAGTTTGAAGAAGATAATGTTAAATTTATAAATAGCAAATACAAAACATTTTGGACTTCCTTCAAACCTATGATTTCACAATCGTATAAAGGATCATGAATTTCAAAAATTCTTTATAAGAAAATGAAACTACTGCAGAGTTACATAAATAAGAAACACCAACCAAATTTGAAGATAACGTTAAATGTTTAAATAAGAAAACTGAACTATTTCGAATTTCCTTCAATTCCATGACCACAATCGTCAATTGGTACTAATTTTCAACCTACCTGATATATTATATATTCTCAGATAAATTTAATCAAATTTGAAAATTACGTACAGTGTATTATACACGATTAATATACATTACCTATAAGAAGTAATACATAACTTAATCGCGTATCATTTGCACGGTAAATATAAAAAATAATTGAGAACCACTGATACGAACGATTATGCATTTCATAAGGTGATAACAGAAAAAGGTAGTTACTAGAGTATTACATAAGAAAACACGAAGAACGAACCACGTCTAAAGAAGATAATTTCAAATTAATAAGTAACGAGTTAAATTAAAATATCCCGAAGTATCCAGAATTTCAATTTCGTAATTACACAACCGATTATAAATTTCGCAAACTGTTGGCGCAAAAAGAAGGCAACTGAAGGGTTACATAAGAAAACGTGTAGCACCAACCTTTTTATTACACGTGTGTGAGGCGTTGGGCGTGTTGCTGATGTACTAGCCTGCCCTGCTCCTGTTCCCACCAGCTGACGACGTCCATGAATTCACCGGATTCGGTGATCTCCTGCTTATAATATAGAGCTCCAGAAAAGGTTTCCGGACTTGCCGCATAAACGGTGGCTGCACCCTCTTCGCTATCCCCGGCGCCACTATACGGCGAGAGAATTTGGGGCTCGAGGTTCTCCTCGTTTTGCCCATAATACTCCGAGGGTGGAGATGCTACCGAATTAGGGGAGAGCCGGGAAAAATTCTGCGTGTTTGATAGAGTCCTCGGCTCGAGATTCTCTTCATCCCCTATTGAGGACGCGTAATAATCATGTGGCGATGAGACTGCAGTTCGATTTGGCGATAATCTGCAAATTATTGACGTAACATCCATTATTTTACTATTTCGTTGTACTATTAATTCTGCTACTACGAATTTATTACGTTTAAAATAATATGCCATATTTCTAATTTCTCTGTTACTGTTACTTTTTCGTATCACTATTAGTCCTTATATTATCGCTGTATTTTTAAAAATAATAAAGAATTTTAGAATTTTGTTTTATATATTAGTATATCTCTAAGAATACTAATTAAATGAGAAAAATATTGTATCTAACCTTCTGTTTCCAAAATAAAGAAATATTATATTTCTAAAAGTATCATCGAATTTTTAAATTTAACTGAAATTTTAGGATCTGATTTGATATTTTAAATAAACTTCAGTCATATCAATGATTGAATATCAAATATGGAAAGATAATCAACAATTACTTGGATTATACTTTCTTTTCTTGATTCCTAGTGATATTTCTAATTCCTATATTGGGTGTACGATTATTTTCTGCGATATTACACTTTTAAGAATGCCAATGAAGAATTTTAGAATTTAATTCGATATTTTAAATAAACTCTATGATCAACGTAAAAGTATGAAAATAAGAAAAATTACTTGGACGTGGTCTTCTGTTTTCCAGCATCCTCGTCCTCCTCCAACTGTTCACCATCGTCATCCTCAGCAGCAAGGACATCGTCTTCGAGGACGAGTCTCTCCCCAGAACCGTTATGACTCGACGAAACTACGCTGCTGGTGGGCGAAGGCATACACTGCGTAGCGCCAACATTCGAATCGTATTCAACCCCATCAGCCTCGGCGAGCAGCCTTTGAAGTCCCCTAATGTACTCCACGGCCATTCGCAAGGTTTCCACTTTCGACAGCTTCTTGCCTCTGTCTCCGTATCCTGCAGCGATGTGACTCGGAATGTGCTGTCTCAAAGTCGCGAATCCATTGTTCACTTGTTTAACGCGATTCCTCTCACGCGCGTTTCTTCGTGCAACGGCCACTGGCGGCGGCTGACCATTCTTCCCGTGCTTCTTCAGCCTGGATGGGTCGTAAGGTGGCAAAACTGTCGCTGAATTCGCGTTCGCGTTGTTGTTGTTGTTCTTCGGGACTATCAGGTGCGGTTGATTGCCGATTATATTGCTTTCGTTGTCCTGCAGAGTCCTCAGCAGCATCAGCTGCTCCTGATCGTTGCCGTTTATTTGCACCCTGTTGCAGAACACCGTAACGCCCATGGTCGTCATCGTGATCGCTCTTCTGCTTCAACGTCGACAAGTGAGAAAGCGTCATTCACCGACTGCAACAATGTAACGAACGCGAAACGATCGTTGACGAGGCCTGTTCTCATCGGCCTTCCTCAAAGACGGCGCGTGGAGTCGGGTGAAATTTCGACCAGAGATACTATGGTATTAAAAATAACAGGGTCCGAATCGTCCAGACCGGAGATACGAGTTTGCGTGTCGTGAGAATAGCCAAGTCGACGAGTTACTACTTATCGACTCTAATGCCTCTCGAGGACGAATCTAATTGATAGACTTATAAATAAAACGCACTCTTCCCTCGAACACGATGATGATTATCGACACAGACGGTTAGACGACTGTTCGATTTGACGTTTGAATCTGGGTCAGAATATCTCGCCTGGACTGAAATTCCGTAGACCATCGGAGTCTATCGCTAATTTATAATCGTCTCTACCTTTGTCAATGAAAGATGTCTAGTTTACACTCGTGCGGAGCGAAGAATCTTGCTCCTTTATTTTTTAAAAACTTTCAATTTGCACTTTTTTCATGAGAATAACAATATATATTTGAGTAACAATAGATTATATCTCCTTTATACAAAAAAGTTCTCGAAATTTTTGATCATTCTTATAACTTAGCAGGTACAGGGTACATATCGAAAAATCGGTGAACGTAAAAATGGAGGTTGAGAAGCTTTTTGTCGTTAGGCTCTCGGGTCAGTTTGCCGAAGCTTTCGATAGTCCACGGGTTCTTTTTCTACCAAATGACGAAGCTGATGACCCGAACCAAGATCCAATTGTCTCGTTGTCGGTCACAACGGCTTAAGTAAAGCATGAGGTCACCGTCTATTCTTCTCCACGACGGTCGTCGACTCCTCGGAAATTATTCTTCAGAATTTGAATTTATTTTTCGAAAAAGTGGAGGACAACAGGAGCAAATGGATTCGTCCACCTCTTGGTCTGCGTACCTTCTTCCTGCGACAGGGTCTGCGTTTGAAATCGTACGAAGTTGTTGGATCTTCGCGTGACGTTTCAATTAGGATCGAGATCTTTGAATTGTATTATCACAATATTGACTGAAGGAATTGTATAGCACCAGTTAAATGCTGTTATTTACAAGGAAAGCATTTTAACGACTTCAAATAGGGAATTCAAACGATCTTGATGATTTATAACGGTACAAACAACCATCGTTCATGTTTTAACACTTATTACGAATCGATTTATCTATTTCGGCTATTAAGGCACTTGTAACCAATTTTCGTTGCTCTGCTCGCAAGACTAAGGTCACTTGTTACTAAAAACGTGAGGCACGAATCCGCCAGGGCGTTCGACTGGTCGATTATCTTCAGATCGATATTTCGACACTGGTCGTTAATACTTTCCGAGCACCATGCGAATTTTCTTCTTCCGCGTAGATTCGACATCAATGCCTTTTTCTAGTCGCGATTCACATACGTTACACAGATATAACTCCATTCAGCCGGCCGACTCTTGACACCCGGCATTTGCTACCGATCAGAGTAGCATCGTTTCGAACGAAACCGTCGCGTCGCGGTCTGCATGGCGTTTAACGACGATACGCGATGAAAACATGGACGGGATGTTAGCTCCCGTTTAATATTCTACTACGCCACAGAGTGACACGGACGGATGGCAGCGCGCACGAGAGAAATAGGGGTAGAGAAAGGACCAGGTGGTGGGGGGTTCAAGCACGCGCCGTAGTCAATGCCGGTCTAATCAAACAAAGAAAGCAACTTAACAATCACGAACGACAATTACGACAGGATTTTACAAACGTTCTCGATCGTTCACTCTTACAAAACCCGTTGTATCGATTCGACTTTCGATACACGCGTAAGTATAACGTGTACGTAATGACAGACTTCACTCGACGGCTATCGTTTCTATCGAACACACTCGCGATCTCAACCGTATTCCGTCGAACTAACCACTGACCATCGAAAGAACAATCCACTGTCGTTATCGGACTCTTCTCGGCACAGTAGACGATGTGTTCTTGGTATTTGGTCACTTTGTCACACAGCTCTTCTCGGAAAATGTTAACTCTCGTTTCTGATCGGACCTCCGTGCTACGCACCTCATGGCGTCTGCGTTGAAAATGAACGCGGACATCCGATAGATGGGTTAGGTTTCAGCATTTTGCCGCACTATAGAGTGAGACGTACGGCTGGCTCAAGGGTCGATGACGGGGGGGAATTAGGGGCTACGAGGGACGAAAAGAGCGCGAGAGTGCAAGCGAGAGGAGCACGAGGGAAACGCGTGTTGTGCAAAGAGGAAGAGGTGGTGGGGGTTTTGAGCACGCGCCGCAGCCCCCTCGTTTCTTCTCCCCCGGAACTGAAAAGGGGGACTGTGCGCGCCATATGCTGGGGGGAGCGCGTGTGCCAGTTGCGTACTTCGTGCACGTATGCGTTCCTGCCTATGCGGCTGCGCGTACGCGCGCGTTAGCGCGCGCCATGCTCTGGGAATATATTGGCGAGCAATGAGAACAAGCGTGCGCGCCATACATTCATGCCCGTTGATCCTTGACTACGGATACTATGGACCCTGTTATTCCGAGAGCTCCGCGAAAGTGAATCTCAGGGCATCTACTATTAAAGAAATGTCCCGGAAATTTGAGAGGGTGGCTGGACCGATGAATATCGCGAATTTTGTTTAATAATAGTATAGTATATAATAGCATATTATAATAATAATAATAATAATAATAATAATATACAAGGTATTCGAATTCTATATGAGTTAATCACAGACCGGACTGATTAACTTCACTCTTTAGTTTCTTTTTTAAATTTTTATATTTAACTTTTTATATTTAACCCTTTGAACTATAATAAAAAGTCTAACTTGCCATGAGTTTTCGTTGAATATTAGAATTACGTGTTACACTTATCACACCAGTAAAATTATATTTAACGTACATTAACGGGCACAAAATTTGAAGTTCAACAATTTGGGTTGGATAGGGATGTAGTGGTTAACTAAAATTAAATATTTCTCTAATACGTTATTTTTCAAAATTATATCATGGTGCAAGGGAATTCTTTAATCTGAAAATTTGTATTTTAATAAAAATTTATATGTATATGAAGCATAATGAAATATAGGAGGACGTCTTTTGGAGTGGTGAAATTGAAGGAAATCTTCCTAAATAAAAGATGTTTAATTTTTATTCTTTTATTGTTCTTAAAATTTCTTAAAATCTTAATCGATGGTTTCATTACCCAAACAAAATGGTTAAGAAATGATAAAATTTTAATCCTGGATCTCATCCCCATAAACCTCTTGTTTTACATATACACAAGGGGATTAAATAACTCCCTTAAAATGTAGCACTTGGATACTTTCATCATTTATTTACTAAGAGGACTTGGTGATGTAGGAATTCATTCGTGTAATGTGATTTATTTAACTACTGATTTCTAATGTATATCTAAAAGATAAGAGGAAGCTAGGTAGGTAGTTGTTAATCATTTTCAACGATTGGAAATGTCTTGTTGGAACTTTCACTTTGTATTTTTGAAATATAAAAAATCTGGAACTATAGTTACTTTAATAGGCTTAGTGTTAATAAAGAACACCATCATGATAAAATATATTGCATCTTTGATTAAATATACTAAAAATGGTTTAATGATACAATATTTGTACTTTTAATATTACCATTATCGATTTGTAACGTGTGCTTAATTATTCTATATAAATAATATTAATTGAAATGAATTATCACAATGAAAATAAATGGACATAGGTATTTGTGTATATACCTATATAATTATGTTCGTATTTGATTATTTTTCTTCTTTTCTTCTATCTGCAAGACCAAAAATTCTGAAGTCAGTCAGATTGACTAACTTACGTTAGTAGTTATAGTAACGTTGAATCAATATTACATCAGACACATTAATTCCGAATTATATGGAATCAAAGAAATATCTGAAAATAAATCATACTTAAGAATGACCACAGGTTATTACAATCGATTTTTGCTCCTGGTTCAATTACATTTGAATTTCATCGTGAACGACATATTTCATGATAAACTTAGGCAGTATGAAATAATTTATGGCAGAACATGTATTATACGAACCGTTATCCAAATACTAACATCGTTATTCGAACATTTTATTATCTGAACGCCGTATTATACAATTAATTCGACAGTGGAGCCGCTTACATGGCATTTTAATTTCATCGTAACGGAAATGCGTTACATTAACCATAGGAAGTAAATACAAAATAATTAAAGGAATTTGAGTCATAAAAGTGCGTTTAGCTGACGAAGAAATACGACACATCAACGATTATAGGTATTTAAAAACGAAAACCTGTTGTTTATGACTTATAGATTTCTTCAACTGAGAATGAGACTGTACATAACGTCGATTGTCCTCTCAATAACGAAAAGAAATATTAGTTCTTCAGGATTTTCGTGCATTTAATCATTTATCAAAAAGTTTAAATGGTACGGGATATTTTGCACATCAAATATGGCCAAAAAATAGTAATGTAACTCGTAATTATTTAAACACGTCGTGTTCAATTTTGTTATTTTTTTATTTTTATTGTCAATATCAGAGTTCCTTTTTTTGTAAGAAAAAGTGAAAATTAATATTGCAAATTAACTACTCTATTATTGGAATATTTTAATTCGATTAATTAATTTAACTCTTTGCACTCGGTGATTTTTTCGATATTTTTCTGCCATAAAGTCGACGATATTTTATATTTTATTTTATGTTTTATTTTATTTTATTTTATTTTATATTCATATTTTTATTTGATATAAAATGGCAAATGCAAATTAAAATGCAAATTAAGACATAAAATTATTTTGCTTCGATATTCCACGCATCGTTGGGTAATTGTAAATTTGATATATTAATTAACATCTTTAATTAAAATATCAAATTATTAAAAAAAATCTTTAGAATCTGATTAAATGGCGACTGAGAGGCGCCTCTCGAGTGCAAAGGATTG